GTGAGAAAGTGTGGAGACACATGAGCTCCTACATAACTATATGTAATCTATGGCTCGTTTGAGGGCCGCGTGTTAATGGGGGGATGGGGGGGAGGGGAGGGCGGGGCGATGGAGAGAACACCTGTGTGTTTCTCCGTGTGTCTGTGAGAGCAGCCTCATTCTCAAAGTCCAGTCCCTGTGAGGACACTTCCATGCAAACCAAGTGTCCTCTGAGGGAAAGTTGGAAAAAGCTCAAGCATACCTTTTCTCCCTTGGGTCCCGCTGGTCCCTGTCAAGAAGGAGCAGAAAATGTATAAGCAATTCATCAAGATAAATAACTTATCACCAGAGGCACATAGATCAATACATCCTGTGCACCGGCATTTGATCCACATAGAGAAAAGACATTAAAACCTCTTGATGCGGCCATGTCAACATACTGCACAATCAAAGACGTTTTTGTCAGAGCGTATTTTACAATAAGTCCGTTTGATAAAAGCCAACAGGGGGAACTCCCTTTAAATATCTGTCTTTTAAAGATAAAAAGATAAATCCAAAAAGGGCAAAGGGTTTCTTTGTTTCTCAATCTCCCCCAGCCTTCCTTCCAGTGGGAACCTGCGCCTGAAGATGCAGAATGTTAGAAACGCTAACTTAAAACACAGGCATACGCATTCACTTACAGGATATGTGGGACACTGCCACATATTCGGCACTAAGTATTGAACAGTTTGACGTCGTCTTATGGACGCCAGGCCTGCACGTCAGCCAACAGTAACTCCTGCTGCAGAAGTTCTGCCGTCCCCTCGTCCCTCCCTGTCCTTCTGTTCTTCTGTGCGTCCACTGCTGATGAGTGGCAGAACCACAAACCACAGACTACATGCCCTCCACGAGGGTGAGAGTGAGTGGTAGAAAAACAGAAACCTACCATATCTGACACCAGCTTCAAAAATCTGGGCAGACCCCGTCATGTACAGAATAGTCAGCTATACTATATATAAAAACCTACCAAATCTGACACCAGCTTCAAAAATCTGGGTATACCTGGGCATATATATATATACAAACATATATATATATATTTGTGTATATATACATATATACAGTATGTATTTTTAATGTACATATACAGTATGCATATATGTATGTATACAAATACATATATTCACATTTACGTACGTAAATATATATACATACCGATGTATCCCCTCTTTTCTCGTCTATAATCTCAAGTCACATTTTCTCAGGAACTACTTTAAATCTGAGGATAAATCTGACCACAAAACATTGTCTCCTGGTCCGTCTGTGATGAGCTCATGCCGAGAGAACTAGATGGCGTCATACGTCAAACTGATGTACGGTCTTATCTCTGCGATATACACCCACAGAGAGAGTATTTCGGAATGCAGCCGTGATCTGTATTAGGCAACTGTCATTTTGATGAAGTAGCCTGAGTGAATGGGATAATGTTTATCACGCTAGTGTGGTACTTCCTCAGGGTACTCTAGTTCAGTTACCACCCTGGGCCTTCCTCCTGCCTCACTGAAACATTTCCAACATTTTAGATGCGGGAAACGGTTTGGAATTAAAATAAAGTTATTTTGAAAACGTTGACCTCAAGGCGGTGGCAAAGTCTTTAGTGGATGAGCCTTTCAAACTGGTATCATCTTTTCAATCTCACTTTGCCGTCGTCTAAACTGCTACAATGTGTTGTAACTGTAGATATTAAATGATTTACAATCAGTAAAATTTGACATTTTGTCCAAATACCAAACAGGAGATTTAATTTTTTTTACTGCACTTTTAGGAAGTGTACCAACAATATTTTTTTTTTGGAACTGGGGTTCGTACATTTGTTCCCTTATCCTGCTTTTAGTCAGTTCCCCTGTCTCCAAGTATGACATGGTATCTGCCTTGAAGTCTCCCTCTAATTCCTTCCCCTCTGCGTCCCTCTCTCTCCGGCACACATGTTGCTGTAAGGGCACTAACACACCGAAGAGGGGGTATGTTGGACAGGACAGGCTGTTTGTTCATGTGACAGGTCACATAATGACAAGCAGCAGCTTATCTTTTCTTAGACGGCTCTGAACTCCAGATCAGGGAGAGCAGAGCTGCAGGAGAAGAATGGTTTAATAAAGCAGAGCCCGGCTATGATTGATGTGTTATCAATACGGTGGATTTTCAAAAACTCACTGTAAGTTTTCAATTTATTCTTTCATTTTCTAAATAGTCTGTACTTTCAAAGTTTTTTCCAAAACAAAAACTCCTGACAGGCCAAATTTGATGGAATATGCATGAACCAGGCCACATGGTTGGAAAGTGGATAGTGCTCTTGCCTTACACTGAGCAGACAGATCTGGACTGCAGGCAGGTCCATCAGACACAGACTGACCTGAATTTCAACAGTTTTTGGAGATCACCTGATGCCATGAGCACATATATGTGTGGTCCCTTTGCCACTAAGTGTTTTTTCTCCACACAAACCATTTTCTCTGCAAAATTTAAAATTAAAAGATGACATTTTGATAAATAATTAATGCAGATTATATACATGTATGTTCTGGTCATTTGAGCGTGATTAAACGATAATCTCCTTTTGTTTTTCCACTGTGGCCTAATGAACACGAGAGAGAGAGAGAGAAAACACCCGACTCATTATCTGCCCCTTCACTAAAAACCTGCATCAGGTTTTACTTTGTGTATCCAGTCGTGTGTTTTCTGTGGGTACTGCGGTTTCATCCCACACTCCAAAAACATGCAGGGTCAGGTTATCTGGACCTTCTTAATTCAGCAAAGGTATAAACGTACGAATGACCCTAAAAAAGGATCAAATCATCAGCAGAAGATTGATGATGAAACATATGACCAATTATTTTTCTTTTAGTTTTTTCTTCAGTTCTCTATGACCTCATCTCCTTTTGTTTTTCCACTGTGGCCTAATGAACACGAGAGAGAGAGAGAGAGAGAAAACACCCGACTCATTATCTGCCCCTTCACTAAAAACCTGCATCAGGTTTTACTACGGACCCTCTGTGATGAGGAGAATCCTCTTAAAGGACGGACCCGGCTTGACGTCTACTTTAGCAGGAAACAACAGCACTAATGGTGTTTGGAGAGAAGGGATTCTAACAGCTCTCATTACGCAGTTAGGGGTTTACAGTTCAACAGATGACTGGTTGCTCACTCATCGAGCAACGCAACGAGAGACACAGTCTGGGCGAGGAGGGGGCCGAGGCTGCTTTAACGACTTTTTAAAGATGCTCTTCTGAAGGTTAGGAACTCTATTCTCACTGGTGTGTAACCCATTGGCTCTGCTCTTCACGCTACACCTGGGTGTGTCTGGGCGGGGTCTCGTAGGGGGAAAAGTTGATGGATGAGACTCAGGGATGAAGGGCAAAGCGGATTTCGGCGCTTCGCTCACTTAAACCATGACTTCCCCGTGGCCTGGAGCCCTGGAAAGAGTTAGGAGGTGGAACCAAAAGCGAAATGGCTTCCATTTGTTAAAGGAGTCTCCTGGGAGGAGTAAAAATAATTGACAGGGTTCGACAAACTGTCACCTGTCTCACGGACACAAATCCTGCCTGTTTGGACTGTTATAAGTCAAACACGAGTGTGTATCAGTTTACGACAGGTGTGTGTGTGTGTGTGTGTGATGGTTACACGGCTGCCCTTCAGACCAGGTAAACCCTAAAGGTTGGACAGAAAAAAAAACCAAACAGAATTAAAGACACATTTCAGCGTTCCCTGTGAATGATTTACAATATACTTTATGTGTGGAGGGAAATACTCACTGGTTTTCCATCCAAGCCAAGAGGACCCTGTCAGAAAACAAGAATAAAAGGGAATTGTTAAAAAGACATATGAGCCAAACAGGAAACTCACAACGGTGGATACTTTCTAGTTTGGAAAATATGAATTACGAAAGGAGCCTTGCCAAAAAACAAGAAAAGGACAATTTACATGTTCCTGTTTTATATCACTTCTGTCATCAAAGTCCAAGTCGGACATGTGAGCATTTCTTCAAACTGCTTCTTTATTGATTGACATCAGAAACATGTATAATGAATGAATGGAATGACAGAAAGACTCAGTTTGTTTAAAATCTTTCTGCAACAATATTCCAAAATATCATCTGGTATTTATTGCTGAAAGTAATATTTATACTGGATACACTTTTCTCTCATGGGAAAGTCATAAATGATCATATGTTGGCAGAAAAAAAAGGGTGAAAAAGTGAAAACAAATCAACCAAGAGAAAGATGTTAAAAGGTTTGCAAACAAATGAAAAGAAGCAGATGCAAGTATTGGAAAGTGAAAATGAAATGAAGAACAGAGGGAATTCCCGCCCTGACTGAAGTACTGGTGGTAAAGTTGTTAATTACTGTAGTTCAGTCACCCACAGCGATGGTTTCTGTTCGATTACTTCTCTGACATTTTAGGCTCATGCTACTAAGCCGTTGCGTCTAGGTCACATTTGCATTACTTTTGACTATTTATGGCCTTAACTTTACTGATGGATTTAGGCATATTTTCTATCTTTTAAGATACACACTTATTCCATGCTAGCTTAATCATTTTCTGGGCTGTCTTTTACTCACATTTTGAGCAATTTCCAATGTTTTTGACTAATGGACCAATGCTAATTTTCAAGCCTGTTACACTGTTGTTGAACACTAAAACGTTTTAACAATCTTAATGAAAAGCAGAGCTTCGTATGTGTGTGTTTGTGTATGTGTGTTTTTCAGGCACCAGAATTTTCCAGGTGTTTTTGGTTCCATGTAACTCTCGTAGTTAAAGCACTGTGGACTGTGGACACTGGTCTGTACCAATCTGCCTCTCGACCTTTGACGTCGCTGATGACATTTCACTTCAGCGCATGATCGGACTTTCACTCGTGCTTGAATAGCAGTTGAAACCGCTCGCGCTGTTTCCCTTAATAAAAACAGCTGCACAGTCACTGAACTTCCTCAGCAAGGCGACACTTCAAAGGCACAAACGTTCTAAGATCTGAAGACGTTAGAGATTAGTTCAGCTCTGGAATGAAAATTTCCAAAAACACTTAAATGTGATGTATGTGGTGAAGTCCGACGCGGACCTCCCCCCTTAACGACTGTACCCCATGTTAAGCTAACAGTTTTTACAGGATCCCATGAGCCGTGGGCTGCTCAGGCCTTCACAGTCCTGGTGGCTGTGGAGACTGGAGACCAGATTTACAGTCACCACCTTTGGCCTTGGATGGCTTACATAACATAGGCTTTTCTCTTTAGCACTCTCTTTTTTGTTTTACTTTACTATACCCCAAGGCAGATAAACTATCCTGTGGTACCGGGGCTGAAAACCTACCACAGTGTCATCACTGCAGTCTTTGTTGACTGGACTGTAGGCACACCAGGATGAAAGGAGTTCTTCCATTTACAGTACGTGGGATCATTTACTGCCCACTCTTTAGTCTCGTTACAGACCAGCATGACTATAAACTCGCATCACAAACTTAAGTGGTCACTCTGTATAAAGAGACACAGAAAGACCTTCCAGGCTCCCAACGTCTTTGTGATTAAAGGAGCCTTGTGAAAGCAGCAGTAGGTGACTGAGAGCAGAGTGGAACAAACGACTGGGACCAATTGGCCGGCAATAATTTCACCACGACTGTCCGGAGATGTGAAGAGTCTGAAGATTAATGCTCTATATTTCTTTCACTGGACGCTGGACGAGACAAGACAGGTCGCACTTTCATCACTCTATTAAAGGCAGCGCGATCCGTCCGTCAAGTCATGTGAAACTGTGAACGATCCCACAAATGTCTCAGAGTGATTTTCCTGCCATGTCTCTGGATCGACACGTCAGTCCACGGCCCTGTGTTAAGTCTGTGCGCGGGGGACGTCCTGATATCTATGCATCTGGGAGCGTTTATCAGGCCTGGGCTGCTTCAAGGCTGGTCAGGATGAGTTGGCGAGGTCTACAGTACATGGTGAGGTCATTGGCTGCTGCCGAGGCTTAACTGGAGGGAAAATGGGACAGATTTATAGACGCTAAAAAGGCACACAGTGGCCCGTGAACTGGAGCTACTGCTGCTGCTGCTGCTGCTGCTGCGTGGGTTCATTTTCCACAATAAAACCTTGAATCTAATATCAGACAGCTGACAGTTTGCATGTGGCAAGTTGTAGAAATAAAATTAAAAATAAATATATAATACAGTGTATGAAACATTGATTGGATTCACGTTACTTCATCAAAAATCCCTTGACCATCCTGCAGTTAGTGTATGAAACATTTTAAAAAAATTAGACAAAATATAAAATGTGTATTTTATCAAAAATCCCTTGACCATCCTGCAGTATCGCTCTAGAGGTCCACGTTAAGGCTTTTAAGTTTATGTGTCTGTCGACACATCTGTCAATGGTTGTGCAGCTTTAATACGACAAGAACGGGCAAAATTCTACTCATCAAACTGAAACGATCAGTATTCACTGTTTCCAAATAATAAAAATTACAATTTGGAGAAAAGGAGACGAAACCCAATGACAAAAAAAAAAAAAAAAAAAAAAAAAAAATCCCTCTTTCTCAACATGTTTGGAGTGGGTTGCAGGTTTAATTTTCCAAATCAGTTTATGTTCAACAAACAGAATTAAGTTAAACAGTCAAGGAAACACGTTTTATTTGTCCTATTGCATGATAAATAAATACTTAAGTGCTTTTCCAAATCACATATTTTATTGAGTGCATACTGCAGTTTTGGGTACAATGTTTTCTGGAACTGAGGTTCATGAACTAAATTATATACAGCATTACTCAAATCAGCAGCAGAGGACACAAAGGAAACTTTCCTGTAGAAACAAAAGGGCAGAGTTGGCCTGTGGTGTTTACACTTGACCAAGATTTATTTCAATAATTGTACATGGAGCTCTTAAAAATCTGGGGCCAAAACTGTTTGGATCCCACTGTGGATGACCCCTCGTGACCACACTGACCCCACGGACAAAGACAAAAACCAAGTGAGTACCTGCCGAAATATCTTTCATCTCAAACCAGGAACCATCAGGCCACCAGAGAAAAGGAAGAAAGGAGACGGAGAGAAACCAGAGCAATAGATGGGAGAGATTAACCAGAAGACAAAGTGGGAAAATGGGCCGAAGATTAGCATCAAAACCTCAAGGAAACCATGGAATCCTATTTTTATGTGTTTCTCCTTCATCTTCATCTTGACCTGAAGGATTCTTTACTTAAAATCTGACTCTCCAACCAGATGTCTTTTAAAAGTTTTTTTTCTTTTTAAATTGTGTTGTGTCGTGTTGTTTTGCACGAGAGTCGGCCTCAACGTTTTGAAACTGCAGTGGTTTTTTTTGCGTTTTTTCTGCAGGTTAAATACGCTCTTAAGGTTTTGATTTTCAGGACAATTTGACTGAATCTTTTCATGCTAACAGATTTGGCAGACTTTTATCAATTTCTTGGCTAATTTTCAGTAACCTTTTAGCTATTATTCACCCATTTTATATTTACTTTTAGATGACCTGATTTTAAGTTTTCTCTAGGCTAATTTGGCTAACTTTATTACATATGCTAATTTGGTTTATTTTCCAAACATATACTAATAACAATCAAAGATATATATAGTGGGAGTGTTTGGAAAGAGCTGATTCAATATGCTGCAAGATATTCATATTTGATTGTGCTCTGAACCTTTGCTAATTCCTGAGACTGGTGTTCAGACTAATGTGTGCGTTTGTTTGGATGCTGACATGTGCGAATCCGTCTCCGTCTCTTTCCCCAAGTGAGACACGTCCTTCTGTCTTTATTGTACTCCCCATCGTGCCAGTAATTATCCTGCAGGATGTAATTGTCGAGGATGCGAAGCTGATGTCTGCAAACTGGAGCGCAGACGTCTCAGCTAGCAGCACACGCAGTAATGCGTCACACACGCTCGTCTGAGTGTAATTACGTGACGTCAAAATGGAGGACACGGAGTAGGGAGACGGCAGCGCCCCCCCCCACCCTTTAGATTTTTTCCCTGTTGTCTTAAGGACTAACCGCTCCTCCACGTCAGTACTACATAAGCACAATTAGAGATACATAATTTTTTGGGATCAAAAGGAGTGGCAGCGTCCAGCCCCCGACAGCAGAATAAAGCAACCAGAGCTCAATGTGATCTGGGGACAGAAATGACTGTCATGTCGTTTGGTGACGGTCTGGCTTTAATCTGCGCTCAGCAGCCGGGGACGGCTGAACAATGGAGGACGGGGTCTGTTTCTGCTGAGTGGGTTCCACTGACTGTCTGTGTGTCACAGACTGGCACTGTTGTACAAACACACCGGTGCCCTGGCACACCAATGAGAACCAACTGGGCTGTGTGGGTGTGTGTTTACACCGGTGTCCTGACAGTTGGCTGATTCTGATTGTTTGACAGCGGGAAGGCTCTCCTCTGAAACTGAAACCCAGCACCGGTGATTTATGAGAGGAAGAAGTGACGCTGGAAGGGGTTTCACAAAGAGAAAAGAAACATACAACAGCACACACACACACACACACTTCAAATGCAAAACATGTCACTGAACTTTTAGTTTATAACCTGTGTTTCTTTGAAAATGAACTGCTGCATAAATTAGTCCAACAAGCATGAAGTCTACAAACTTTTTTTTGCCAAAAATGACTCAAACCTAACCTTAAAAATGGCTGCAATTAGACAACTAGAGTGCTAAAAGTTAGCCAAAACATAAATGTTGGCCCTGAAACTGGTAAAGTTAAAAGAAAAAACAACACCATTTATTACAAAGAAGTAATAATAAAAACCCAGATGTCGCTGTTTGGCCAAAGGGTTAAAAAAATGACCATAAAATACAAGAAGCCAATCCAAATATTTTGCTGGATTTAGCCAAGAAGAACAATTTTGGAAAATGATTTCTGAAACAGAGCCTTGAAACACCTAAAAGTAATGAAAGAAATGACAGATTAGCAGAAAATTGAAGGGAAAAAAGCTGAAAGATTTTACTCATTAAAAAAAGAAATTGCGATAGAGCGAAATATCCAATACATTTACAATAATAAAAACCCACAATGCACTGAGGGTGTGATACAGCGAAGGACGACTAAACTATAAATTAGCCAAAAACATAAAAAAAATACTAGTCACTAGTTTACTATGTTTGCTGAGGACTTAGCTAAAAGTAGGATGAAAGATGAACATTTAGCCCAAACCTGCCTAAAAAGAGTTAGCAAAAAATATTAATAAAAATAGTTAGCCAAAATTTGCTCTGTGATTCACCCAAAATGCACCTGAATTTGATTTTACAGGGTTAAAAGAACATTCTGGGATGAAACTCGCATTTACCCCAAATGCAGCACAAATCCAGGAGAGGGCAGGAAGCATAACGTTTATTTAAAGAAGGAGAAGTTGTTGGCACAGGTCAGTGGTGCAGCTCTGTCTCCGAGAGCTGACTTGACTGGTGTGTGTTGACGTCCACATGCTCCGTCCATGTGAGAAGACTTATTGGTGTGAAAACGTGTTATGCGCTCGTACACCAGCGTTCTAGTTCTGTCATTTGTTACAGAGATGTACATGGTAGGACAGAGCTCTCACACACACACACACACACACACACACACACACACACACTGCTGCCCCCCCAAAGGAAGAATAGCTGTGTTGAAGCCTGATCACCTCGGCTGTTGTTTCACTGTCACTGCTGATCACCTCGGCTGTTGTTTCACTGTAACGTCACAGACTCATGTCGACAAACGCATCATAACAGGAAGCTGCCTTTTGCACCAAACACCAACACAAAACAGAAGACATTTATCACCATCTGTGAAATCACAAACAGTCATAAAGATTGACGACTTTTTGCTAACGAGACAGAGAGGGATTCGATAAATTATGTCAGTTTTATGATTCACATCGTTTTCACTCGTTTCCTGGGAACACGACGATGATATATCGGCGCCGAGTCTCAAGAAAACAAATGCGACTACGGATGCACTCCTCCATGCACTGACTCCACCTGTGTGTAATTATCAGCAAACATTTCCCGTCAGGAGGCCGGGGCCGTGCCAGGCCGACTGGGAATCTGACTGAGGGAGAGTCTCCAGGGAATCATCTCCCCAAAAATTCCCAAAGAAGGGAATTCGAACACCAAGATAACTAACAAGCTAACGCTAACAGTCAACTACATGTTACCATATACCGTACGGCAGCCCATAGCTTGGGTTAACGCACGGCTTCTCAAATAGTGGGTGGGGGCCACGAGTGGGGACATTCAGTTTATTTTCTTTATACATGCTTGTATGATAAACAAGCCTTCAGTCACTAGATGGCAGCAAATAAATAAATATTACCAGGCGCTAGTATTTCAATTTGGGGAGGAGTTTTCAAAACATACACGAAGAACCCAGTATGCATGGTCATGGTCTGGTATTTTTTCAATTTTAATAATTCTAAATGCATTCATTTTGACCGCCCTAAACTTGAGGATCACAACTGAGGTCATCACCCCACCACTAGAGGCTGCTTTTTCCTCTCCATTCATTCAAGACAATCAGCGACTACCTGCGACCAAACTGCAAAAAACAACAACCGCTCTCTCACAGTGTCACTTGTGACCAAACTACAAAAAACAACAACCGCTCTCTCACAGTGTGGGCCATCTGTGATGATGAGCCATATTATAACACCTTTTTATAAAATTTTTGCGGCTGAATGTATTACATTTTCTTGGCGGCGGCGTTTGCTCACTGATGAAACGTTTGCCAAAGTTGCACCTGAACGTTTATTGCTTTTCATCTTGTCTGGTTTTTATGTGTTCAACATATGTTTTATTTTACAGTTTTATGCCCCGAGTCAGTCAGTTGCATTATTTTAAACCACCAAAGAAATAATAAAAACCTTCATCCTCAAATCCCCAAACGGGACATTTTATGTCTGTTTGTCTTTAAACACAGAAATAGGGCAGAAAACACTGGGGATGAAGAACAAGTGCGGAGGCAAGAAAGCAGCCAGTAATTAAAAAAAGGAATGAGAAAATAAGAAAACACAGTCCTGAAAAGCTGTGAGTTAAGATGGAAAAAATTAAAGGAACAGGACCACAGTTGGCCAAAAGTCAGAGAAGAAAGATAAATATAAACGTTTTACCGGGTATCCGTCCCGTCCAGACTTGCCCTGGTGAGGTTAGGGATCAAAGCATTGAGACAATTAACATCAAACGTTCACAGCAAATACCTCACGCTGCAGGTCCATCATGTGACTTATCATGGAGTTAATTATAATGGGAAATAAAATACAGCATCTTAGTCACACAATATATAATCACATAAGTGTGTTCTATGGCCCACTAGGATGATTCCCTCTGCCTCTATTTTCACTTTTTCTACCCTATATTTTGCTATTAAATGTTTTAAACTTTGGCCAGTAGGTGGTAGTAACACAGCTGAAATGATAGATAGCTAACATTAAATTAAATATGGAATATTCACCCTTTGACGGACTTTACTTGCTTGCTACAAAATCCCTGAATACTCTGCCCTGAGTCACTACTGTGATTGGTTCAGATTTACTGTGGAAATACTCGTTACTATTCTGTATTTTGTTTGCAAACCATATTGAACACCTTTCTTTGGTCATTTTACGACTTCCTGTCAAGGCACCGTCTGTAAAGCTGCATTGTAACAGGTGACTTATTGCCTCTATGACATGATGCCCCTCTACTACATTGGCTTAGGGCAGTTTTTCAGACAGACACAGGAAAGAAAATTATACAGTGGTTAATGTGCTCCGAGTGTAAAACAGCTGCGCTGAGAGTTTCCCTTCGACTGAACGGTCAGTCATTCACACTGTTTCTGTAAAAAAGTCTTTCATTTCTGCCTCTGTAGTTGATCTCTGCCATGTGTGGCTGAAAAAGTGAATGCAAATCCAAACCCCCCTTCAACCCCCCCCCCAAATCACCAAAGTAGTGTTTTACAACGTATCAAATTTAGATAAACGTAAATCCCAAACCTTACGTCAGCAGGTGCTACACGTGTTCTCTAATGGTGTTTGCATGTGTTTCATCTGTTACATACATGGACACAGACGTTGTCTGACTACAGAGGGAGGGGATCCTCCGTGTTAACACGCTAGTCACCCCTAACCATCACCGTGACACACACTTCCCTCGGTGGTCCTTTTATTGGCCGTGGTCTGAAGACACACACATGTGTAAGTGTCAGTCTGGGACATTGTGTGTGTGTGTGTGTTTTACTGCTGTGAAAGTTGAGTCAGTCTGTGGTTGGAACATTACACTGTTCATGGTCCATGTTGGTGTGTGTGTTTTTAGCCTCTAAACTGCATTTATTGAACTAAGTTTTATCAATGTATCCATTTTAATGACAACAATCAGTCTGGACCAGGAACACACTGGCTTTTAAAGACCACCAGCCACCAGGTCAAGGACTGAAATGCAATGAAAAACTAAAATCCGTCAATAGGTTGCTTGCCTAACTTGTTGATCAACAAAATTACCAATTATTAATTTGTGAAAAAAATATTCAGAAAACTCAAAAAGACATTTTATATAAAGGGCTGTCCTGGGACTCTCCATCACCCATACCAGGTACTGTCAGGAATACCAGGTTCATAACCATGTAATGATTTGGTGGGCAGTGTTTTTTGGTGTCACAAATATGAGCAAAATTAGGAGACCTGCAGTGTGAGAACCCAAAAGTAGCTGAAGAAAACCTGATTAGACACTGGGAGAACATAGGGATTACTAGGGATTGAACCCCTGATCCCCTCGCTGTAAGGCGAGCGCACCGACTACTTCTTCTTCCCCCCTTTTCGTCTGCTAACTCTCAGTTTAAGTGAATTACTAAATGATCCATTATAGTTTTTCACTGCATTCTTGAAAACGTAAAACCCACCCCTTTGGAAGCGGGGCTTGGACCGCTGAGCCTTCATTGTCCATCACTGTGTTTTGTTAAGTGTAATACTACCTGGAGGAGACTCGGGAGATTGTACTTACGGGAGGTCCTGCAAGAGAAGAAGAGAAATGAGGCGTCAGACAACAAACTATGAACGTTCGCCTTGACACGTGAAACAAAGCACACGCACGCTTCAGCGACCTGTGGTTCGTACTGCGACCGGTTCCTCCGAAGAGCAGTACGAAGTAAAAATAATAAAAGAATCCTGCCCTGGCGTGTGGTTTGTCGGATGATGACTGTAATTAACCACCTAAATATAATACAGAATAAGCTCATTAGAGCCGCTGCCAGCGAGGTTTGTGGTGGACATGTTATGCTGAACAGGCCTCTGGGTAATGGCTCATGTTTTGCATTAGAACGTCCAGCACAGTCACGTTAGGTCTCTGTTTCTTGAGGAGATAGGGCGGTATTAGATGAAGGACAGACAGGGAGTGAAAAGGTCGAGGATTTTGGCCTGGTACAAAAAAACAACAAACCAAAAGAAAAAAAAAATCAACATCACAAAGTTTTTTTTTTCCAGATCTGATTGAAATCCTCTGATGTTATGACTCAACAGCATAAAGTGCATTCTGCTTCTCATACTTTGCCTAACCAAAAACAACAGTGACGATCAAAGGACTCCTCTCCTTCTAAGTGGTCTTGGTTTCAATGGAATAGACTATTTAGAAGAGAGGGAGAGAGAAAAAAAACAACTTTTTAAATATGCAACACCGAGGGCACTAATAAAGCGCCAACATCTCTGTTGCTATAAAAAGATTTAATGATTGGTTTACATCTCTCTGATGTGAATATGAAAGCAGTCATGATACTGATTTATATAATCGTTAACACGATTATAACCTAGCCCTTTGGCACAGTGTGGAGTGATGCCACCGCCGCAGAGCTGGGCTTCGCTCATCAGCACGACTGCAGCTCTGAACATCCACAGAAACTCAGGCAGATTGAACGCAGCCTCCCCTTCAGGCAAATGTGGGATATTTGTGGATGTTTGTTTGTTTCATTTCAAAAACACTACAAAAAAAATAATAAAAAAAAGTCCTGGGAGCCTGGGAACTCACAGTTTAAGGAAGAGCACCGGGCTGAAGGACAGATGCAAACCAGAGTGGGACGGGGTGAGAGGGGGAGAATTAGAGAGGTGATGGGGGTTTATGAGGCATGGAGCCCAAGTCAGTCACGTTTAGCTGCGTCTAGACGCTGTGACAGACTATAGGCAAATAAACACAAACAGGCCGAAAGGGGAAGCTCTGACTGTTGAACTTGAGACAGGTGTGTGTGTGTGAGGAAGAGTAAAAAACGATAGAAGCGGAAAGACAGTAAAAGAAAAACAAGTTAAAAAAAAACAAACAGGAAAGTTGTGAAACATCAGAGTTGATTTAACGAGGCGTAAAAATTCCTCCCCCTTATTTCTCCGTTTTGACCTCCAGCGTAGAGGGTTTTTTTTTTTAACTCCCCAAAAAGAAAATGAAGAATGTTTACATTTCGCCCTAATCTGGAAACTGAAGGGAACTTTGCTGCAGCTCTGTGGCCCCCAGTGCTTTGTTAGCTCAGGTATGCGCCTCTGTTTCTCATCGACACGCTCACTTGTTTTTTCAGTAACAGAGAGGAAAAGCACTCCGGTCTTGTAAAAACCCGGGGTCAGAATCGTCACCCGGGAACTGAGTCGGGTCACCAAACGGAGGACTGGGGGTCCAGACACGTCCTATTGGACCTGGACCTGATACTGTAAATATTCAATAACTGACTGAGTGTTTTTTTTTCCCTCAGTTTTTACGGCGTAACGTAGGTTCAGGAGAATGAGCCAAATGACAGGCCATGTAACTCGTCACCACAGAGGAAAGAGGGAATTTGGAAAAGGACTTTTAGACTCTTGAATTTTAGAGAAATCAACATGATTAATGTTATTCAGTTAACCTTATTTTTTATAATCACACCCTGTCATGTGAGTGGAGAGACGACTGTTGGACAAACTATAAATGGATAAAAAGCAACTGGTCACCACATGTGGCCCACACCACTTGGCCAGTCCAGCTCTTTATCCACCTTGTACCACTTAGTTCAAGTAAATCAAGGGAGTACTTCATTAACACTGCTTAAAATTTTTTTTTTTTAAATGTGGGGGGAGGAGGGCGTCTGGGGGGCGCACAGATGTATCACAAGGGGAGTTGATGATGAATTTCAATTTTGTTTTTTTCCTTTAATCCACTGCAGTGCAATGGCCTAAAAGTCATTTTCTTCTCCTTCTGTTCAGTGAGAGAAGCAGTTCTTAAAGGAATCAGTGTTTTAAATACAGACTAGTGCAGTGTTTAACCTTATTTTTCTTGGGACCCATATTTTAAAAGTCACAAACCTTTGTGACCCAAGTCAAAAGACATTATTCATAAACTCCTGGGAAACATGATGCGAGACGACCCAAAAAAAAAAGTCTTGCGACCCACCTAAGGGTTGCAACCCAGTCTTTGGGAAACAATGGACTGGTGGAGTTTTGAAGCAGTACCTATTTATACCTATTATACCCATAAATCTTGGGGGGTGGGGGGGGGGTCTTGGGAACCACTGACTCAGAGCTTTATATAAAACCTGGCGTCAGTTTTTGTTTCCAAAGGCACTTCAACGTGAAGTTGCAAAACCAAACAAGAGAGAAGGAGAAAATCCTAACAGACGAGCCGCGTTAATACACACTCTCCCGCCTGCGAGTGTGTGATCTCCGCTGGAATGTAAACAGCCAGCTTTCCCTTAATGAGAATCCCCCACTGTGCAACACTAAAAGCAGGGGAAAAAAACACCGTTGCAGCGAGGATCACCTGATCAAAAGGCCGAGGGCAGAAGGACTTCCACGATTAATGTGATATAAATGCTAACAGGACGGTGGGAAGGACGTGGTATTTACTGGAAAAGTGCGGCGCGAACGCAGTATACGTTTTCCGTTTGTCAACAAACACCATGGAAACGCCCGCGTTTTCCACTGTTGTTGTCCAGAAGCTGTTGAAGACACACCATATGGTTGCAGTGGGTCGTTCCCGCAAACACTGTAGCACTTCTGTAAATACTCACTAAAATGCACAGGGTCCGCAGCCAAAAACAGCCAGTGAAAGTATGAGGTACTTGTATACTGGCAGACTAGAGGACTAGAACCATATATACATATATATAAACTGTATTTAAGTGAAACTTATTAGCCACAAACAACATTTAAATGTTAAAATGTTGTGACTTTAAAAACTGGGTAAAAAACAAACATCTTATTACAAGCAAATATATCACAAGACAAAAAAAAACACGTCAGCCTGAAGGCATCAGTGTAGTCAATATTCCACTTCAAATAAAACTAATTAAAAAAGCCAAAGCCTGAATCTTATTATGATATTAATAGGATATTCATAAGTCATTACAACTATTTAGATCTTTTTATGTAATCGTTCACATGTGGCTCCTAAAATCTATAAAGTTGGACAATTTGGATCACTCTTCTATGAACCTAAAATCTGCCCAATAAAAACGCTGTTTGTTGTTTTTAAAGTCAAGTACTGTTGTGTAAGATCAGTGCCAATTGGCCAATTCAAATAAACAAAAGTAATCAGTTTTCAGTCTGTTTCTGCTTGACCTCTGGCTGTTGGAACGCTAACCCAAAATATCATTACAAGTAATATGCAACATGAATCTTTTGCACCAGTATATACCGTATCTTTCGTATTTTTTTTCATAGTACTAGTTACCATTGACTGTAGTGCCTTCTTCTGAAATGGCTAATGTTGCATAGCATATGTGGTGATATTTTGAGAGCACAGCATGTGAAGCATCCAAGCCTTGTAAAAGAAATTGGTCCTCGTTGACAGGAGTTTTTCGATGTATCGTATCTTTTTGGTTTTACAGCCTAACCTTTTCCATAAGCTGCTTGAGCTGACAACTTTACTGGAGTTTAATGGTTTTATTAATCTTTCCCCTGATCACAGTAATAAAACTCCCATTATTTAATCAACACTCGGGTAGAAAATCACAGCCACATCATGTTGTACAACAATGAATCACAACCGGAGTGGAAATGTTTCCATCATCGTGACACACATCCTGCAGGTTTATGGTCGGAGTTATAAAAAAAAAAACCCAGGTCAGGATGAGTCAAAGTTGTGGAACATCCGTTCTATCTGTCATGACAGAGTTTAGTGTAACAAGAGTTACGTCGCTGCACTGTTTTGGTTCCCTGATGAGTGTGTTGCGGTCTGCTTGGAGAGTAAGAGCAACACAATGACGGCCAGTAGTGATGTTGGCAGCAGAGAATCTCATTAAGCTTCTTCTATAGCAGCTGCTACTGCTCAGTGAGAACGGCTGACATCTGGGCCAAGTTAGTGCAACCACATGGCCAGACTAAGTGCTGTGTTACTGCAAACAGGGAGGGTCAGGGAACAGGGCCAAATGTGGCCCATCATCTGCCAGCCTGACTCATGGGCCACCTCGTCGTACCAGCCCTAGGATCTGTCCGGTGTGTGTGAGAGATTGTGTGTGTGTGTGTGTGTGAGAGAGAGAAGAAGGTAAGAGAAAGTGTGTTTTCCAGGAAAAGGGAGAAAGGACAAATAAACTGAAGGAGCAGGTGGGGGGCGTCACTTACCAGGTTCTCCTCTTCGTCCCATCCTTCCACGTTTTCCTGGAGGCCCTGTGAAAACACAGACACAGTCGTCAGCGCTGCAGGCATGAGCACAGAGAACAGTGGAGCATCACTCTGCCGGATCTCCGTTGGTGGTCATGTGGTGCCTGGCTTCAGGTCTGTGTGCGTTGGCACACTTGTCAGAATGCCTGCAGGTGGGAGTCAGTAGCGATGTGGACACTAATATAAAAGGCTGGTGACAAAGCAACAACGATGGCGTCGTACGTGAAAATAAATGTACCGTATACGTATTTGACTTTTAAAATTCCTCTCTGGCTGACCCTCAGACCAGCTCAGCAGACCCTGTCCTCGCTGCCTGAGCTCCAGTCAGTCACCTCGTCCTGACCCTGCAGCTGGTGCAAACACCTTCGTCTACAGCTGTTGGTGGTGGAGGTGTTAAAAAACGACGTCAGGACTTTGCTGATGTGGCCCAAGAGAAGACCGTTACAGACGTGTTTCCCAGGGACCTCATTATTTTTCTACACAAAGTACTTGAATATGAATGTTAGTATTTAAAGGATGCTCTGGATTATCAGACATTTCTACATGAACTACAGGAGTTAAACATAAACCTACACTATGCTAATTTACTGTAGCAGTTTGAATAGTAATTGTCTAATGAACAAAATATTAAGGGTTCGATTCCCTGTCTGCAAAACTAATGTATCCATGAGCAAGACGCCTGTCACAATTGATGAAGGCAAAACAACCTATCCATGTACATTCACATTCACGGTCATTGAGAGGAGTAATTAATTACCCAAAAAATAAAAAAAATAAATCAACTTTCTGTTTATTCTCTAAATGTCCCTGAAAAAAAAATTCTACCCGACAACGATCTGACATGTTGCAGTAGGAAGGAAAGAAAAGTAAAATAAACACAGAGGGCAGGCCAGAACACCAGTCATTTTAATGTACTTTTGTCTAATTTTATGTTGATATTTTTTTTTCTGCTTCTGCACTTTTCACTGTCTGACTTTAGAAATGTACCAGACTTTACACCACTCCACAGCCAGACCTCCGGTACACAAACGCACAGCTACAGCATATTCCATAGGGGGCTCTGTTTCCCTTACTTCTGCCCTCACTGCTATAAACAGCGCAGCACCATGGAGCTGGGTTTCTGGGAAGAAATGTGTGAGTGGCAGGGATGAGGTGGGCAGAACAGGAGGGGCAGACGACTGGACCTACTGCGTCACCTGGAGCGCAGCTGTAAGCTCATTTACATCTGTGCTCCCTGTTGTAAAAATGACAAGATGAGTCCAGGCGCAGAGATGACAGGTACACCGTAAAGATGGATGTCATCATGGAGGATGGATGGAGGCATGGTTTCACAATCCAGTAAAATGAACCCTTGTATAACGCAGTCACTGTTCATCGTGAAGTGCCTCCTCAAGAGCCTCAGTCGCCAAGTGCTGCAAGACCGGGCGTCAGCGAGACTGAAATGTGGGCGTGCGATTGGCCCTGAGTGTCAGGGCTGAGGGAGGACGGAGGTGGGAGATGACAGGCTGATGTAGGACTGGATTGACTGGAGGAAGTGATGGAGAAAACAGCTGCGCAGGACGCATAGTTCAGAGTTCTATTTCAGTAGGGAGCAGTACAGGGATTCTGCCCATGCAACAAACAAACACACAAGGACACACACACACACACACGCAGACCCACAAATGAGGTGTCAGTTTTGACTTCCTGTGTCGCTGTGACATATTAGGCTCTGAAAATGTCACAAGTTTTTCAAAATAGAAGAGTGTTGTATGTTAGAAACCATTCGACGATGATCGACATATATATATATATATATATTTACTTAACTAAGACTTGATGTGTGATTTTACTGACCAAAAAACTATTATTAATAAAATAAGAAATTTAATTTAAACGTTGGACATGTTGATAGTCAAATCTTAAGAACCTGAAGTTTTGTGAGTAGAACTCCTGTCCGTTCTTGCTGTAGGACCTGAGCGAGCTACAAATCCACGGGTTCCACTGTCTGTCTATACGTATTTATCCTTTTTTTTAACGTCTAGGACCTGAGTGAGCTACAAATCCATGTGCACCACTGTCTGGACATTATACGTATTTATCCTTTTTTTTAATGTCACATTTGGATCAGAGGGCATGTGACCAGTAAACCTGGTTAACTGGATGATAGGGTGTGCTCCAGACATCTATTTCTATGATGGTTTATGTACGGTATAACTTATACGTTGACTAGTGTAAATATTAAAAAAACACACCATTCTCTCCTGAATTTAAAGGCTAATTAGTACAGTGTAAAGCAGATGAAAAATGTTGACGTGTAAAAGGGAAATGTCACAGTAAAGTGTAGAGATAGGAGGATGGGAGTGATGGTTCAGGCTGTTCACTGTTCAAGGTGGTGAAAAACACCCACAGGAAGAATGATGGAACTGCAAGAAAGTCGGGGAGAGGAGAAAACTTAATCCTGTACATCGATCTTCCTGTGAAAGATGGAGACACACACACACACACACACACACACACTGAACTGACTTTGAACTGTGTGGACAGTTCCTCCTGAACTGTTCTTCGTCTGCATGTGGGACAGTAACCCATGTGGTCCAGGGTTTGACTGGAGGCCACTACAACTGGAAGTGTTTGGAGAGAAACAAACACGTGGTTGGAGGCCCAGAGATCTCCTCTCTCCTTCTCTTTGTCTCTGTGTCTCTCCCTCTTTCTCACTTATTACTCAACCAGATGAAGGCAGATACACGACCCGTGGTACTGAATACACACACCCAGCATACACTGAAGTATCCACAACCAGTGATAATCAATATGACAGAAGAGGAGATCCTACGAAGTCACACACCAGCAGAAGTACACAACCCGAGACACAAATCACACACGTAATACGAAGACTCCCACTTACAAACGCAACCAAAAACGAATGTTGATAAACACTCGGAGATTCTCATTAAAATACACAACGGTAAATACATAAAGCACAACTCAAGAGACACAAGAGTAAAAGCTGAACATAAACATACACAATCGGGGACAAACCCACAAACACACTCAGAGCTAACCAATAAGGTACACAAACCAAGTATACACAAGTATGAATGCACAACCACAAAATCAAAATAAGATTAACGTAGTACAAACACTCCAAGCCAACAAAAAAAACCCAAAAAACAACAACATATACATCGATGTTTTTCCAATGCAAAATACAACAAGAAATACAGGAATCCTCCACATATGTCGGAATTATGTTCTTACAACTCGATTTTCGTACCGATGTCACTTACCAATGATAATTCAGTGGTTACATCATAATCTGAAGAACTACAGAAAGTGAATGTAGCACAATTCGATGTATGGCGTACAACGGACAAATGTAAACAAAGTCGTCATCCATGTATAGCACCCTAAGACAACGTATTTGTCTGCTCTCGTCATCCACGTATATCACCCTAAGACAACGTATTTGTCTGCTCCGCTCGCCAACTAGTTCCCATGCCCCATTTCCCAATGGAATGATGGAACGTTGAGGTTCGAAGACGTCGTAAATAGAGGACCGTCTGTATACGTGAAAATACACATTCAGTGATCCTGTAAAAGGGAACACAGAAACAAATGACAAAAAATGACAACAAAACGTGACCCAAACAAACATCTTTGTCTGTGTCCTATTTCATATTTTCATCAATTAGCTCCTGAAAAAGCTCCATCATATCCCAACATCCCTTTGGTCAATACCTGTCCCAACTCTCCCCCACCTCCACCCCACACCATCACCCCACCACCTTCTCTAAGACTCTTATTTTTTTGTATAACCAACAACTGGGAGCAATCAAAAGCCAAATGAAAACAGTAGAATGTGATACTCCAGGAAAGCACAGGCTTCACATCCAGTCATCTATGCATCCAACCCCCGTACCTCCAACACCACCGTCACTCTCCTATGAACCCCCTCGCCCCCCAAATGCTGCATACTCTCTGTGCAAGGGGGGAAAATTTAATTTAACCGTAGAGGAAGAGAGAAGCGGGAAGGGGCTGAGGGAGGAAGGGTGAAGGTAGCGAAGGTCAAGGTCTTGCTTCCATGTTAGCTGGAGGCTACGTGTCCATACGGTACCTACGCTCATTTCTTTCTTTTTCCCCTACTTCCCTTTAAATCCCAGTAGCAGATTTCACTCCATAGATTCCACACGCAAGCATGAAGAACAACCTGAACTCCTTCTCCTTCACATTTATATCCAGTCAGAAACGCTCTCAAGAGACTTGTCACGAACTTTAAAAAAAATGTATCGACAGAATTTATGGACTAAACACAGCACGCAGCATGTTTAATTTTCCAAGGGGGCTGTTTAACTTAATCTAAAAAAGATGAATTTATCTACTCATAATGAGCCATCTCAGCTGATTGCCATCATTAAGATTGTTTACTGATCTTGAGGATCCCCGTCTCTCAGTTTGTCTAGTATTTGCACGGAGCGGGACAGCTGTTAACCCTCTTTGTCTGAAACAAAAACTCCTTCTTCCAAACGTCTCCTGGTCTGTCATCGTTTCCCCGTGTTTGTCCGACTTTCGTTTCACCGAGATAGAGGACACATGCTGGGGATGTAAACAGCAACAGAAAGAGAAAAAGGCGGCGGATGTGATTCACATGGTGGTGATTCACTCCCCAGCTGCCGTACATCTCTCTTGCCCTGGGTCAGATGGGGTTTAATGGCTGGAGTGGGTTTATATCCATTCGCCTTCACAGTGGGTATACAGTGAGAGTCCGCCGTCGAATCTCTTCTGTTAGTTCTTAAGATCCACACCATGTGTAGTCAAGGTGTTAGAAAAAATCACAGGATATTACACAGATATGACACGTTCTCACCTCCGAACTTAAACATTTTTTTTGCCTAACAATATGGAAAACCAGATTGTATAATTCACGGCTTTGTGGTTTCGCTTTTTATTGGACAATAACTCTTATTCAACGGCTCCGCATCGACGTATTTTAGAGGTAAAGTTTCACAATTGTATTTAATCAATTT